GACACTAACATTCGATGAGAATTCACTGACGTTTGAAATCTATAGCTGTTCCTGGTTAAATATCATATATTTTTCGGTTGGTAAGGGTTAGTAAAATTAAAGTTTATAGCGTACACACGGTTATAACATTTTCCTAGCAGACTTATCTCTTCTCTGTTTTTGGTGCGTTGCTCTGCTGTTTTTATAGGCGGGACACATTTTCTTGAATCTTCGGACAACAATACTGGAATATATTTAACTGGTTACGGAAGTGGATATATTGTTGATTCTTGTGTTCACGAATATTCTACAACCTTGGAGAATTGGCTGGAGTTTCGCCACACGTAACTAACACAGTAAGCTAGACACGCCCTCAAATATAAACTTTAACATTAAAATAAATATATAACAAATTCGTTATACGTAACACATATCTGATACTACAAGTCACGCATATGTCTAAATACAAATTCAATCCCAACAACGTTCATATTAGAAAATAAATACGTAATAATAAATTCATTACAGTTAAGTAGTTGGAATAATTGAGAAAAGTAAATAATAAATTAATTGACAATTTTCATGAAACTCAATTTAATCCTAATTTTGCTGAATAAGTTGTTCAAACAATCAAAAATTAATATCAGAAACAGTAACTAGTTGATTATCTTTGTGGTATTAATCAATTAATCATGATTTTGATTAATCATTTATTTTATGAGATACTAATCAATGTAATTGCTGCTTTAGGTAATTTATTTAATTGTCTATCTCGAACAATGATTACTGTGCATTGGATTTGTTTAAACATAAACATAGTCTTTGTTGCTAATATTCACATACAGTGGAAATTTCTTCATGATTAATAGTGATTTTTAGAAGCATACCTAATGAAAATGTTGATGTTTGACAATATAAAATAAGCCCAAGCACTCAGACTGAGTATGATAAACAATTAAGGTTGTAGTTCAAAGGGCAACAAGTTGGTAAGTAATAATAATCTATTTCCTTGTTTTCTCAATGCAGAGAAGGACGAGCTGCACTGGTCACATCATTTGGTGTCGTCAAGTACATGGCTTGCTACAGTATGACCCAGTTTAGCTGTGTTATCATACTCTACACAGTAAGTGTGGCCTTAAGTATTAAGGCTTTTCTCTGCATTAAGTCTAATCTTGTTCAAACTTAATCTTATTTGAAAAGCTGAAGATCCATGGCCATTAAACCTACGTGAGAATTTAAGCCCAACCATAATTTTTTTTATAACAACTCTAAGCCTTTCTTTTACGTTTTGGAAAATTATTGACATTTACTGTGGTTTGAGTGAATTAGTTATTATAGAGAAAGCACACCCGCTATCAAATCTGATTTGGGTTATCAGATTGTTTGTAATGACATAATTTTCCATCTCTGTTAATTGTTATCTAATTTAGAGTATAAAAAAGTAGCTTTAATACAGTAGCAGATACTAGTCTTAAACTTTTTTTTTTTTACATTTTAACATTTTGCTCTCTTTTTATTGTTATGCATCTAGATTTTGTTCAGATTTGCATTCAAAAGTTTTGTTAGAACAATTATCATAACATCTTCAGTTGTAATTTTTACTTAGTATTGGCTGCTATAATCTGGTTAACATTTAAATATGGTTAATTTATTTCTTCCTTACACTTGTGTAGTATTTTCTATGTTAGTTATATTGAAAACATAGATCACAGTAGAACCAAAATGTACATTAACCTAATTGTAGAAGTAATTAAAGGGTCATCCAAATGTATATTATTTTACTAATGACAATGACAGACCACTGTTGTGAAATAATGTTACTCATCCTTATTCATGACAGATGTGTGATATGCATAAAGATGAATTGAGGGACCTTCATTATCCTACGTGATGTTTTTCAATATTACACTCACCCCTTCATTATCCTACGTGATGTTTTTCAATATTACACTCACCCCTTCATTATCCTACGTGATGTTTTTCAATATTACACTCACCCCTTCATTATCCTACGTGATGTTTTTCAATATTACACTCACAGTGAGTGTAATATTGAAAAACATCACGTTGGATAATGAAGGGTTTATTGTGTTAGTAAAAAGGCTTCATGTAGGATAATGAAGGGGTAATTTTGTTAATAAAAAGGCATCACATAGGATAATGAAGGGGTTATTGTGAAACTGAAAAGGCATCATGTAGGATAATGAAGGGGTTATTGTGATAGTAGAAAGGCATCATGTATGGTAAAATAATATATAAATTACATTAAAAAATAATGAAAAACGTTAGTGTATTTGACAGGTCCACTAGGGGTAATCTCTTTTCTTTTTTAAAATATTGTTGTGCAATGCTGTAAGCAAATAAAAATAGTGTTCAAACTGTTGCTGTATTTGAAGTCTAAACTTTTTACTGAAAATATATAAATTATTGTAAAATATCTTCCTACCAAACTAATGACTCGTTAGTTACTACTTAAAAAAACTCTTTACACATATGAATAACCAAAAAAGAACCTTAATGTTATTTCTACCAATATTTTTCCGTCTAAGCATTCTAAGCATTTGTAAATCATTTTTAATATCTTTTTTTCTGTGATGCATTTTTTTATTAATGAATTTTCTAAAGTAGTATATTATGTGTTTATATTATGTTAATACCTTAGGAGAGGTACTGTTTCCTTGGACTGAGCATGTTTTTGTGAAGTTGTACATACTATAACTGAATTAACTTCATGTATCTTCACAAAACTTGGCATGCTTTTTGTAAACATTATAAGTCTATTGTTGTATTTCAGAAAAACACATATTTTTAGTGAAGTATTTTCTATTAATTTTCAAAGCCTTCACCGAGTCAGTCTGACTGAAAAGTGATAACCTTTAAAACTGAATATCAAAGTTTTTTTCTGGATTTTCTAATAAAACTTTATACTTTATCCCTTGTTTTCTTTACCTTAATGCTAAATGTTGAGAAGTCATCAATGTAAAGTGAAATGAAAAGTTGAAAAAATAAAATAAAATGAGACATTTTAAACTAAAGTAACTGCTGTATGAAAGTTTCAAGTTACTTAACAGTTTCAACTGTTAACTTTTTCAAATATATTTTAATTTTATGGTTTTATTATTGTACTTTGTACCTATTGTAGCATTGAAAAGTTGAATAGTATGAAATATGAATAATAATGCATCCTTCCTCTGCACTGACTACGGTATTGGTAATAAATTAAGTCTTAAGTTACAGTTACAACAGCTAATATTTTCACTTTTTAATTTTAAAGTTAGGCCTGGCATGGCCGGGTGGTTAGGGCGCTAGACTTGCAATTTGAGGGTCGCAGGTTCGATTCCCCATCACACCAAACATGCTCACCCTTTCAGCTGTAGGGGCGTTATAATGTGTCGGTCAATCCCACTATTCGTTGGTAAAAGAGTAGCCCAAGGGTGGGTGGTGATGACTAACTGTGTTCCTTCTAGTCTTTCACTGCTAAATTAGGGATGGCTAGCACGAAATTCAAAACAAACAAACAAACAATATTAAAGTTTTATTGCTGTCCTCTGTAGTTCTATCACATACTGTAATTGCCACTTGAAAAGTAATAAATCACAATAGGAATGCATTAGGTATTTCCAAAGAGCTAAAGTAAACACTACATATTGTAAGGTATCATTTTACCCAGGATTGAGCTAGTGTAATTTTATACATTTTATTTTATTGAATTTTTGTTATGTGAAGCTGAGAAATTTATGATTTTTGAATTTTAATTACTTTAAAAGATATATATATATAACAATGAATAACTAAATTTCTAGTACTTGCTTACACTTGCTGTAGTCTTCCATAAGCTTCATTGAGTCTCACAAATTTTGGGAACAAAAATGTTAAATCTCGAATATGCATTTTAAAACACAAAAAAAATATATCAGTCACTAGAATAGAATGCCCAAAACTACTAGTTGTTTGGAGTAGCAATATTATGATCACACAGTTAAAGACTTCATTAAAGTGAATAACATAGGCACCATAACTAAACAACTGATAACTAGTTTTGCACAGCAGAAATTCTGCTCTTTATATTAACAATCTCAAAACCCAGATTGGGAGAGGAGGTGCTTCTCTGGTGGTCTAATGGATTTGACAGATGTTTTGATATCACAGGAGATAGGAGGGGCCACTTTTAGATTGTTGCTTGTAATTATGTAAAATTTGTTTTTCTAATTGGTTGAAACTGCAGTAGCCTGTATTTAATTTTACAAAATTCTAAATAGAGCTAATATGGAAGAATGAAGATTGATAATTTTTGATATTTTTTTTTAAACTAAGAAGTTAAATCTCTTATAATATGAAAATTTTAATTATAAACTACATTTTAATGCCAAGTTATTGACCAATAATAAAGTGGTTTAATTGTCAATGTAACATTATAAAAATTCATAACATGAACACTTTGACCTGGCCATAGCAAAAGAGTTAATGACAGTTTCTTACATTCTTACAACAGTAATAATGTGTGTTTATATTCCGTTAAAGTTTGTAATAAGTGTTTAAGTTTCTATTTTACAGTACGTAATATCAATATACTTGAAATGTAATAGTCACTCTTAGCATTAGACCTTCCAGTTTAGCTTTGTTTTATTTACAGTTGAAAATTTTTAATTTCTAGCTTTCTTTAGTTCAAAAATTGTGTTCATAATTAGCCATTCAATAATCAAAAATAGCTAGTTTTAGTCTTGAAAAAGGTGATGTTAATCACACATTATTTGAAATTTTCTACCACCATGAAGAACAGGTATTCCTCTCTACATTTCCCAGTGTGTACAAGTTTCAGATAAATAATTATATATTAAAATGTGTCATTTTGTTTTTATTGTATGCCTAAAAATATACTTGGTAGTGGGATAGTGGATTAGTGTAAACTTGGCCATGAGAGAGTTAAATGATAATAATCATAAAGCCAAGACTAAATACAGACCTGTGTAGTATGTAATTTTAGTATTTTGTTTTTAGATATTTGAGTTTCTTTAATAACATATTTATACTTTCATATTTTGTAATTATTATGCATATATTTTAATTCAGCTGAAGAGTAACATGACAGATTTTGAGTTCCTGTATGTTGATCTCTTCCTCATCACTTTGTTTGCTGCTCTCTGTAAGTCGTGTTTATATATTGGAAAATACGTATAAGTTACATAAATATTACATTAAGTATGAAAAGGTTTGCAAGTCTACATTTTCTCAATTATATGTAAACCAGTCTGTCATAAAAAATGATTGATAAGATGTACTGTAATATTGTTTAAGGAAATTATACATCTGTGTCCATCAGTTGGGCTCGTTAATATTCACAAGTGAAAAGATAGTTTTAGAATTGTTTATTGCACTTCTCACATACAGAATGAAAATCTGTGTTCAAAAGCCAAGAAAAATACACTTTAAGCACTTTTTTGTTTAAAGTTCCATTTCAAGAACCAAAACATGCACTTTACTGAATACCCATTAAAGATTTTTTGTTCAAGAACCAACAGAAGTACTAAAACTACATTTTACATTTCCTAACTGCTAATTCATGATTCGGTTAATGAGCCAAGAATTATTAACAATACTCTATGTTCCTTGTGTGCTATTGTGTTGGTTCCAGCTCAAAACCAGTAGGTACAAACTACACTATACACTCCTTACGTGTTTGTAGAAAGTTTCACTATCAAACAAACACTAACACTTACATTTCAGGCTTTTAACGTGAGTATTCATGTTTGTATTACATAATTTATTTGGACTATCACCACATTATAAGTTGAAGCTGCAGCAGCCTATATTTAATGTTACAAAATTCTAAAGGTGAGAAGTCTAAGCTCATATGGAAAAATGAAGATTGATAATTTTTCAATATTTCTGTTTCAAACTAAGGGTCAACTAAGTAACAGCGCAAGAAGTTCTCAATGGGTGTTGTGGACTTTTTATATAGATGAGATGAGCTTACCATTTTTGGGCATACTCATTAACTCTTTCACTACAGGCTTGGTCCCAAGACCCAACTTCATAATCATTTTGTGCTTGTTATAGTTTTCATGCTATAATTTTTAATACAATAAGCGTATCTTCACACAATTTTGCAGATCATCAGTAAACATTACAAAGCTTTCCTATGCAAAATATCAGATTTAAGTTTTTGCATTAAGTTTTAAGATTTTTAAGTAGTATTTTTCTCATGCATTTTTTCTTTTCAGATGCTGACTATCCAACATGCAGAGTAATTTTTATTTTAAGATAAAAAGTTACTTTTATGTATCAAATTTTTAAATTTCACATGCAAAATCTTTATAACCTTCAGATAATTACGAACCTTTTTTTCGAAAAACTATATTTTTTATATTATTTTCACTGTTGTAAATCTTTATTGGTTTGGTCAATTTGACCGACTTCATAACCACCAAAAAAAATTAGGAAATGGATATTAATTGTACTTTTCTTGTTCTAGAAGGACTACAAATTATAACTCAAAAAAAAAAATGTCTATTCTAAATAATTAATTTTAAAAACATTATACACACACACACACACATATATATATTTATATTTATTACTTTTATTATATTCAGCTGTGCCTTACTAACATTACAGGAGTTGCAATGACGTGGTGCACATGCACTCATGTTACCATATCTAAGAATATAAAACTGGCCTTCACAAAGTGACCTGTCTTGGCTGTGTTCTGGTGGACCAGTATTTTGTAAAATAGTCACATTTCAGTTATAAAACATTATATATGTTTATACATTATTACTATTTACAAATAAGTTGCTCCCCAGTGGCACAGCGGTATGTCTGCGGACTTACGATGCTAGAAACCAATTTTCGTTACCAGTGGTGGGCAGATAGCCCATTATGTAGCTTTGTGCTTAACGTCAAACAGACAAACAAATAAGTTATTAAATTTCAGTTATTTTTCTTAAAACATTAAACATAAAAGTATAGAAAACTGTTATCTTGTCTACTTCCAAACTTTGTACTCATTTGCTGCTTGATTTAAGTTGCTAAGCCTTATCGAATTTTGCACATGGAGGATGTAAAGCAAAATGATTTATTTAGGTTTTATATATGCATTTGGAAGTAACGAAAAATCATAAATTACTACATCAATACTGCAGAATTCCACTCTAATTTACCAAGCTTGTAACAGCTGGGTCTAAAAATATGATTTTTTGAGCTCACTAATGTCTTACCTTACTGCTTGTAATCTAGCATGATTAGAAAGAGTTTCCTGTGCAAATACTTTGCAGCAGCTGAGAAAACCACAAGAGGAACATTTTGAGCTTTCGATTGGTTATACGCATGTCATTGGGCAAAGTACGTGTATGTAAGCAGTATTTTAAAAAAATGGAAGAGGTGGGTGGAGCCACCTTGGTTGATTCACTAAATATAATAATAATTCAGAAAATAGAAAATATATGAGATTCTTATCTTATATTCTAGCTTGTCAATATCAGTAATTTGAGTATCTAATTCATAAGAAACTATAGACGTTTGTAACTGAACATCACAAACATCTAATTTGAACCAAAGCTGCATTCAACATGCCAAGTGACACATAAAAATCGATATTTAGGATTTTTTTATTTACTTTTAAATTAACTAATGTATAATACTGAAATTTGAATTATAATCTACAATTTAATACCAAGCTTATTGACATACATTAATACAATAGGATTTCAATCAAATTTTTGAATGTGAGTCTCCAAATGCAATGACATGGCCTTTCACCCGTCACCATAGGTAGACCCTTTTAGGTAGGGTTAAAGAAAACAAGAATTAGTTAGAAACTACAGTCTATTGTAAATCTTTTTCTGTTATTATGCTGCCACACCAAGAATCATGCCATCCAACGTTGCAAAAAATGTCGACTTTTACTGTTATGTTTACTGTTATGTTTGGCAGACTTAAAAAATTAACTGTTACATATTAAACATGTAATATTAGATAAAGGTTTCTCACCTCATGTTGTTGATAGAGCCATGAGGAAATTGAACAAAAGAGTAAACTAAAATCAACATTTGATAAAAGAAATGTCGTTTTTACCATATATCCCAGGTTTATCATGTAAACTTTTTCATAAATTCAAAAATCAAAACAAGATTTTTATTACCATTTGCAGACCATTGAATAAAAATAGTCATATTAAATAAAACTAAAGACGAAATATATCTAATGGATGTGAATGTGATCATGCATACATTGGTCAAACTAGAAGAAACTTCCTCTTGAGGTGGATTCCTGTATGTGGTGAGGGGACCTCCCAGAGAAGATTCTGTATTTTCAATTTACCTCCTCTGTGATTTGAACCTCCACCCATGTGTTTGCCATGTGTGGGATACTGTGAAAGGGAGGAGAGGATCCTGGTGGTTGAGGGGTGTCATTGATAGGTCAGTTTATATTGGTGGCACTTCAACATATCACTTTGCCTTGAATTCCTGTAGATGGGTGGCCTTGGCGTGGCTCCCCCAGGGTCAGTCAGCTGGTCTGGTTGGGTGTTGTGGACAATGTGTTTGATGCTGATGTTTGGGGTATAGTGCATTGTAGTGTGTCATTTTGTAGGACTCCATGGTGGGTGGTGTCAGTGGGCACTGAAGTTTATCTTTTTTTGTATGGATCCTGCACACAGTAACAAAAATAACACAATAACAAACTATTTAATAGGAAAGCAACCATGTTTAGAAGACTCTGAACAGCAGTCACCACCCCAATCTGTACCTGTACCTCATTTTTTCATCCTGCTTTCTTTACCTGAGAAAACCCTTAGAGCAAATGTCTCCCTTTTTTTGTTCAGAAGGGATTAAATGGACTAGAAGGGCTTGCTGGCTCTCCAAAGTCAGTTAAGAAGCTATGTTCTGGGGATATCTTGGTGGAAACATGTACATCAAAACACAGCAAACTCCTCCTGAAATCAAAGGCCATTGGGGATATACCTATTGAGGTTACTACCCATGCTACTTTGAATTCCTCATGAAGATTTATTGTTGAGAGGGATTTAAGAAACATTCCTGAGACCTGCTGATACTGTCATCTTTCTTTATACCAGAATGACAGGTTGTGTGATGGATGAGTTCATGAAGATGTGGCATATGATCCACCTTGTCTTTGCCACTCCATACACCCATGGAGGCTGTAGCCATTCGTAACTCCGTGGGTTGTACCATTACTGTTTGTTCTCTTTACCTGTCTCATAGAGAGACTTACGATCAATTAAACCTTCATACTCTCATAGAATAGTTACCATCTCCCTTTTTCATCTTGGAAGACTTTAATGAACACAGGTGCTGATATTGATGGGAGGGGTCATTCTATGGAGGGTATGCTTTCAGATCACAACCTTTTTCTCTTCAACACTGGTTTTTTCACCTCTCTTCATGCACCTAGTCAGTCTCTTACTGCTATTGATCTATCTGTTCCACTTCACTTTTTTCTCATTTTTTGAAGGGTTGACAGTGACTCACGGAGCAATGTTCATTTTCCTGTTGTTTTGAGGTAGATTGGCCGTGGTCAGTGCCACCCCACCCGAGTGCCATGATGGAAGTTGAAGCAAGTTGACTGGCTCTCCTTCACCACTCTCTTAGAACTAGATCCTACTGTGGTTAGTCTTCCATCTATTAACGACTGCGTGGAAGTAGTAACTGATTGGATAATTCAAGTAACTGCTTGTTCTATCCCCAAAATTCGACATGCTTCCCTTGATATTCACATCCATGGTGATCTCCTGCCTGCCAGCAGACATGGAAGGCTCAGAAATTGGTCTGGGATACCTTTCACACATATCTCACTCTTTCCAACCATGTTGATTTCCAGCAGTCCTGTGCCCATGCTCGGCAGTTAAGATGTTAAAGCCAGAGGGAATTTTGGATTAAGTTCACCACCAGCATCTCTTCTACCACCAGTTCTAAAGTTATCTAGGACAAGATTTGGAAGTTCAGTGAGAAGTAGGCTTCCCATCCCCCTTTCCATCTTGCTTTCTAATGGCCAGGAAGTTGCTGATGTACAGAGCATCACCAATACTCTTGGGGAGATCTTTTCTTATCTTTCCAGCTTTTCTGTTTCTTCCCCTGCCTTCTTAGCCATCAACTCTTGGGATGAGAGATTGCCCCTTTCCTTTCA